GAATAAACAATCGGGAGGAGAAAACAACGGGGCTGTTGGTTTTGGGGGGACATGGGGGAGGGGAAGGTGGGGGAAAGGAAGTGGTGTTAACACACCCAGGGACAAGGGTTTTGGGGTAACATACTTATCTCTCTTTTTCTAAGAATTGGCAATATTTCAACTAGTATCGACTCAATTTCAACATATTAAGAATTGCTTTTATAATTTAATGTGGTTGCTGCTATTTCCACACTCCAGGTCCCAATCCATACCTGTTTTCACGGAGCTCACTCCTTCTCCCACACTCTCAACTATTCCAGCCCCTTCATGGCCCAGGATAATGGGATAAATGCGAAGGTTCTTCAACATTTTCATTTCCGTGCCACAGAGCCCTGTGGCCACAATCTGTAAGGAAGGCAAAGCATGTGCTCTGTCTCAGATATAGGTAGTTCCAAATAGTTAATTAAAAATAAAAACCTTTTGCTAATTTGATATGCTTCACTGATACCAAAACCCAAACCCACTGCCATCAAAGTGGTTCCAACTCATTTCAACACTGAATCTTTTATGGAAGCAGGCAGCCTCATCGTTCTTACTTGGAGAGGCTGCTGGTTAGCAGAGGACGTAGGCCAGAAAAGAGTTTCTTAAAAGAGGGAATGGACTTCACAGACAACTTACTTTAGAAATTGACTACCTTTGGGTAATACATCAGGAACCAGTACTTCATATCCTCATAATTATGATTAAAATAATAACAGCTAAAAACCCTGAACAACAAGTCAGATGAACTGCATTTTAGCCTAGTGGCTGACTTTACTATCATCTAGGAGAGATTTAAAAACTTCCCATGCCAAGGCTGCTCCCACTTCACCAAGGTCAATTAGATCAGAATATCAGCATCTCTCAAGGTGATGTCCATTTATCAGTTTTCAAATCTCCCAGGTGATTCCAAACATCCAACCAAGGTCGGGGAAACGATCCTGACCTAACTTTTTTCTAACTAGCTGTGTGCATTGGGCAGCCACTAAACTTTAGAAAGCCTTACATTTCTTCTCCGTAAAGTAATAGACACCCAGTGGTCCCGGCCAAGAGCGCAGGTGATTGAGCACTCAGCTGGTAATCAAAACATTGCAGCTCTGCAGGAGAAGGCCCTGGTGGTCTGCTTCTGTAAAATGATCGCCGAGAAAATCCCACGTGGCTGTTCTGCTCCGACACAAGTCACCATGGGTTGGAACTTACAAAGTCTACTTGACAGCACACAACAACAACAACCTGCTCACTTCCAGTTCTAATCTTACATAGCTTCAGGATATGTAATCGAACAAATTAAAAAATTATTATTAATTGGGATTTAATACATATATCAATCATTCCATAGTTCAATCACGTGAAGCAGAATTGTACGATTGATGCCTCACTCAGTTTCCGAATGTTCTTTTTCTACATGGTCTCCTTGACATTGTCTCCCTTTAACTCTGCCCCCCCCACTGTCCCCGACGCCCTCACAAACCCTTTCTTCTACTTACTGTACCTATAGATTCCATCTCTTATATGGAAAAACAGAAAAAATTATAACAAAACTTCAAGAGGATGTCCCCCGATGACATAACACCTAGGAGATAACATCCCAGTATGAACATACAAAACCCAAACAAAACAATACAATCTAAAAACACAGAAAAATTGGGAAACCAGATCAGGTTCAGCCTCCATCATAGTGGGGGTGGAGGGGATCAGATCTACTGACAAAATTTTAGCCGTTCAATTTCAGATTTCTGCCTTTAATCTTCTATACTCCTCTCTCCCAAGATCTCTATTTAGTGACCACTTTCCTCCCATCCCTCAATTTTAGATAGGGGGAGTTTTTCAGAGGCTTATTTCCAATGAATTTTCCCAAATGTATCTTGTCATCCATAGCCTTCTGCACACTGAATTCTCATAATTTAGACTCTGATACTGATCCCTCCTTCGACTTTGGATTATATGGAATCCAATCCATGGGTGACTGATGATGGTGCGCTGCTTCCATGTGGACTTGGTTGACACCTCACTTAGAAGGTTGCTTGTTTGGAGACAAGCCTTTAAGAGCCCAGATCTATTTTATCTGATAGCTGGCCACCATCTAAATTCTTCTCCACATTTTGCTATAGCACCCATATCTTCTGTGTTCCCTTCCTGAGGGCGAGTATAGAGCAGGGTCATGATGTAAGAACTAACTGCTATTCAGTGAGCTAAGATTTAGTGGGAGCCCCAAACCCATTTCTGGATCTATGCTTCTTTTTTTAAAAAAATATGTTATTACTTGGGAGTTAATGCATATGTCACATAATTTCATAGTTCAATCACATCAAGCAGAATTGTACTTTTATTTCCTGGACACCTTGACATCATCTCCCTTATATCTTACAACCCCTTTCCCCTGCACCCCATGCACATACCCCAGAAACCCTTGTTCTAATTGCTGCCCCGAAAGACTCATCAATCCTGGGTTTCACTTATCGAAAACAGGAAACCACCTGTGAGGTGCACCCTAATATGAACAAGCATAAATAGAATACAGCAGAATGTCTGTCACAGGACTGCCGGAACAATACATATCTTGCTACATTATATAGGGTGTTGAAGCAGCAAAACTTTGTCCACCAACCAACCGTCCTCCACTCTTGGTACAGCCGTCTTCTGCGTTTGCTGAATTTAGTCCTCAGGTTACAAGTGTGTCTGAGGTAGAGTCCAGTTCACCCAGTGGAGTTCCCACCTGGGATCTCACAGATGCAGCCTCTGGAGCAAGCCTCCCGCCCCAAAGAACCAGGCAGGATTCAGTGTCCCAGCATTCCACAGCACCTGGTCTGCGTTCCTGGGATCCTCCCAGACACCCGAGTTCAATGTTGCCCACCTGCTGCATGCCACCAAAGAGATTCCCCACCTAGGGACCCCAAGAAGCATCCCCAGTCACTCCTCCTCAGACCTAGAGTCCAGCCCTCCCTTCCCTCCCTCCAACAGACATGTACCTACGCTTCCTCAAATGTGACCATTCCCTCTCCCTTCTGCGCAGCCCCTCCCATTAGTGAGCCTTATGCCGCTGACAGGGCTGCCTCCTTCTCCAGGGACCTCGCCGCAGAGCCAAATGGCAGCCACTCAGCAGATAGCATCCCTCCAGCACCCCCCATCCCTTCCCCTCTCCCCCCACACCATTTGATTCTAGCTGACTCCATGTGTCCTCTGGCCAAGTGACCTTCACAACACTTACCTAGAGTGGATGTGTGGTTCATTGGCACTGGGCAGGCTCGCTACCAGACTGGATGCTTTACTGGATGAGTTGGCCCTGTCTGCGGCTTGTTCCTGCTGCAGGGGACTCATACTGTATTTGTCCTTTTGTGCTTGACTAACTTCAGCGTCATGTCTCCCAGATCCCTCCTCATCTTGAGGTGTTTTATGGTTTTGTCACTGTTTTTTAGGGATGTGTGTGTTCCATTGTGTGTATGTACCAGGGCCTTTTTTATCTACGCTTCTACTTGGGGGAATTTGGGCTGTTTCCAGCTGCTTGCAACTGTGAGCTGTGCTGCATGAATATGGTGGAGCAAATGTGTGTTTGTGATCTGTTTCTTATTTCTTTTGGGTGTATGCCCAGTAACGGTGTTGCTTTAAGCAGTATTTTGTGTGTGTGTGTGTGCAACATATGTCAAGATAACAATGTCCTATAGAAATGTGAAGTACAGCTTAAAGCATGACTTTGCGCAAGAAACTCCTTTTGACTGGTAAATAGTAATATAGCTGTAGGTTAAATATAAGTTTTGTTTTTTGGGAATCTAGTTCGAAAGTTGGAGATTTGAGTCCACCGGGAGAAACCTCAGAAGAAAGCTCTAGAGAGCCACTCCTGAAAACCACCTGGGAGAAGCCGTGGTTGATAAAGCACCGTTCTATCTAATCAGTCCCATGCCGGCTTGTCAGGAGCTGGAGTTGGTTTAGACCTGGCTAGGTTTACACTGCCTAGGTTTAAACACCGCACCAAATGTGGCTGAAAAGGAACAGGGAGAGTGTGCCAGCCCCGCCCTGCCCTAGGTTGGTCATTAAGAAAAGAATGTATGACTCGCAGTGAAAAGCTCTGATTTTGTGTGTGTGCAGGTGTGATCTGTGGTTTACCTTGATTCGCACTTCCTGTGCCCTTGGTGGAGCCACTTCTACCTCCTCAATGGAAAGTGGTGCACCAGGTTCCCAGAGGATGGCTGCTTTGCACTTGATAACCTGGAAAATAAATAGGGGGCCTAAGGAGAAATTGCTTTAGGCTTGGGAGTTTAATGCTTCCTCTATTAAAGATCTACCACTTGTCCGTCAGTTTGTTGCACAGTGGTGGCTTGTGTGTTGCAATGATGCTTCATCACTGGCATTTCAGAAACCAGCAGGGTGCCCCAAAGGAAACAGGTTTCAGCAAATCTTCCAGACTATGTACCGAGTCGGGAGAAGAAATAGGCTGTCTGAATCAGAGGAATTAGCCACTGGCAACCTTATGGATAGCACCATAACATTGTCCACTACTGAAAATCTCATGAACAGAAGCAGAACATTGTCAGATGTAGTCCTAGAAGATGAGCCTCCCAGGTTAGAAAGCGCTCAAAATATGACCAATGAAGAGCTGCCTTCCGAAGGAGAGTTGATTAATGCTATGGGTGAAATAAAGCCTGTGGAGGAAAGCCTGTGAGACCTTCATTTGATTATGGGGGGAGGGGTGTGTGTGACTCAACATGAGAAAAAGCAGCCGTGAACATCAATTAATAATCAGAACTTGGAACGTACAAAGTATGAATCTAGGAGAATTGGAATCTGTAAAAAATGAGATTTAACATGTGGAAATCCTAGGCATTAGTGAGCTGAAATGAATGGGCATTAGCCATTTTTTTGAATCAGAAAATCATATGGTTTATTACATAGGGACTCACAGATGAAAAGGAATGGTACTGCATTCATCACCAAAATGACATTTCTCTTTCTTCTTTTTTAAAATTCATATACCTATATACTCAAGTATAAGCCAAGTTTTCAACACATTTTTAATGTAGTTTTTGTGGTAAAATTAGGTGCTTTGGCTGATATTCTGGTTAGCTTATACTTGAGTATATATGCTGTGTGTGTGTGAAATTGGGAGTTAATACATATATCATATCATTCTATAGTTCAATCACATAAAGCAGTATTGTACGATTGCTACCACAATCAGTTGACATTGTTTCCCTTTTACTGTTCCACCACCACTGTAATACCCCCGCCCCCAGGAAACCCTTGTTCTATTTGCTGTCCTTAAAGGTTTATCAATACTGAATTTCATATAGCAGAAAAACACATAGCACAGCTTCAAGAGAGTAACTCCCATTGACATAACACTGAGATAAAACCTAATATGAACAAGCAAACAAAAATACAGAAAATGTTTAAAACCAGATCAGGCCCAGAGTGCATTAAAATGGAGATCAACTGACAAGGTTTTAACTATTCAAGTCAGGTTTATCCTTTTAATCTTCTAGATTAATCTCTCCAATGCACTGTTTAGTGACCACTTTCCTCCCATCCCTCTATTATGGATAGAGGGAGACCAGCAGAGGCTTGTTCCTACCTAGTTCCACAAATGAATCTTGGGCTCCCATTGTCATCCATAGCCTTCTGCAAACTGGATTCTCACAATTTAGGCTCTGATACTATTCCCTCCTTCGATTTTGGATTATAGGATTTACAATCCTACGGTGACTGATGTTGGTGTGCTTCTTCTATGTGGATTTGGTTGACATCTCACTTAGATGGCTGCTTGTTTGGATACAATCTTTTAAGACCCCAGACACTATATCTTTTAATAGCCAGGCACCATTCTCTGTCTTCACCACATCTGCTTAGGCACCTATTTTGTCTTAAGTGATCATGTGTGTGTGTGTGTGGTGGGGTGGGGTGAGCATCACAGAATGTCAATTTATTAGAACAGAGTGTGACTGGACTACAGGGCCAGCCCCAACCAGAATCAGCCTCACCCCCACCCTGGAAGTGTGTGGCTCAAGAACGACACTAGACCTTCTGGTGGGGGAAAGGAACCGACCTACCATACCCAGACAGAAGCAAACCGAGAAGGAAAAAGAGAAAGGGGCAGTCGGCCTAGACTCCATATAGGCACACCAAGCCCAGAGGATGAGGTCCCTGCATGGAGCTGCGGGGGCACAGAGAGGACTGTGGGACCACCAACAGCTCAAGACAGAGACAGGAGATTCACCTTTAAAGAGTTCGGGGGGAGCGTGGGGGAAAGACTTTTTGAAATTTGAAGTGATCAGTTTTCTTTGGATACTCCTAGGTTGGAAAATACTATGCTCCTCAGAGAAAACTACCTTCTAGGACTGAAAGTTAATGAGATCCAGTGAGCAGTCTGGTCTGCTTGCCAGGTGACCACCTATTTCCATTTGTTGATTGGAAGTGGGAGGATACAACAATGAAGAGACTGACTGAAGTAAGACATGTTCTCTTGGTACCAGTTGACCTAGTTCATACAGGCTGGAAATGAGAGCGAAGAGGAAGGGCTGTCTGGTTTAAAGAATTGTGGGAATACTGAGCCCATGAGCATGACAGAGCCCCAGAGAGCTATTGCTGATGAGAATATGTAAAGAGGCCAGATGATCTGAAACGAAGGGAGATGTGTGTGAACTCTAAAGTTTGCTACTGGTGCCCGTATGACATAGTAGATAGCTATGGCCAAGTTGACCAGAACCCATCCTCGTGAAAACAGAAAGATGTTGACCCTGTGAACTGGTGCGCAATGGTACAGTCCTGATAGATGGCCTGTTCTAGACTGGACTTTGCTGATGGATGCAGACAGTCAATGTTCCAACTAGAATGACAATTCTTCAAATCAAAGAACGTGCTTGTCTCCTCAGAGTACTGGATTTTGATAAGAATGGGCTATTTACACATTGGATATGTAACATAGGTGGAGATAAAGGTATGAAGCAGATTTTCATAGGTCATTTTATTTTTAATGGAAAGAGAGGATTCCTACTGAATAGTTTCATCTATTCCTGTTGGGTCTATTGAATAATATATTGGAGATACCTAAATAAGATCTTTTTCTTACCTCTATGTTTCAATTCTAACTTACAGAAACCTTATAGGATTAAGTGGGAGCCCTGGTGGAGTAGTTGTTATGAGTTGGGATGCTCACCAAAAGGTCAGCAGTTTGAAACCACCAGCCACTCCCAGGGAGAAATACAGAACTTTCTACTCTTGTAAAGAGTTAGAATCTCTGACACTCACAGGCACCGGTCTAGCCTGACCTACTGGGTTGTTATGAGTCGGCACTGACTTGATGGCAGTGAGTCTGATTTTGCTAAGTTTCTTCTCATGTTGCTTCGTCTACCTGTGTATTCTTTTCTTACCCTAACTGGTACATTTTTATTTCTCCTGGAAGTTTCCACGGAACTGTCACCTCTGGCAAGGCAAATTGGATTGAACCTCTTCCTTTATAGTCTCATTCTTCATTTCTAACCTTGCATACTTAAAAAATTAATACACTATGTTTTTAGTTATTTTGTTCTTGTTGAGAATATACACAGCAAAATATACACCAACTTCAACCACTTATATGTGTACCTTTTAGTGACATCAATTACATTCATTTTGCAAGTTATGCAACCATTTTCATTCTCATTTTCTGAGTTGTCCCATATATGTTTCTGAATTGTCTCATATATAGTTCTGAGAAAAGCACAATGTTAAAAGCAGATATTTTTTACTAATTAAATTAAACCACTGTTTGATTAAACAAATAATTCAGGGGTTATATTTGGTTTAAGGTTCAAAGATAATCTCATATCAATAGTTTCAATAGTGTCAATAGTTTCATCCAATCCTCATGGCTACAGAAAGTCTGGAGTCCCTGAGAATTTTAAGTTCTGTTCTATTTTTCCACCATTTTGGTAAATATTATTCTATGGAATATTTGGTCAAAACATTCAGCAATGGTAGCGAGCACCATCCAGTTCTTCTGATATCCTGGCAAAATTGTTTGAAGAATCAATTAGACACACATTTCATATCTACCGTCTGTTCTTGACTCACATTCTTCTCTTATTCTAGGGGGAAAGAGACCAGCTGTGGTGATTTGGAATGCTGTTTGCCTTGATTTTCATGATTTTTAAACATGCTTCTGTTTAAAGATCTGTGAGGTCCTTGAAGGAGGAAATTTATTTTTCATCTTCAACTCTAGAGAGTATGACACAAGGTTTGGCAATTGCTTACTTGAAGAATGAAAGCAACTGGTGAAAGCAAGCAAGTAGAAGACATAAAAGAAAGGGGAAAGGAGGAGGAGAAGTACTCAGACTTAAGACAGTGTTTTCTTCTAAGAGCCCAGAGACTATCTGGGTGATGAAACCCACTGCCTTTGAGTTAATTCTGATGTACAGTGAGCTTCGAAGACAGATTAGAACTTCTCTACAGAGTGTAGGAGACGGAATCTTTCTCTGAACAGATAGCCTCATCTTCCTCCTGTGGAGTGACTGGTGAGTTTGGAGTGCTGTGTTTGTGGTTAGCAGCCCAATACTAAACCCACTGTCCATATGGTTCTTAGCTGGGTGAGTAGAGAGTGGTAAATAGATAAACACAGAAATAATGCTATGACTTGATGTAGAGAGGAATACACCTACCTTGCCTATAGTACTCATGCTGATTTTCTTCCTCTTCAGTACCACAGGTGAATATAGAAGGAGAGATTCACATCACAAATTTCAACATGGAAAATCCAAGTGTATGCAGACTGTCCTGTGCTTTATGTGCAAGCTTCTGTTTTAGTAGGGAGGTTCCTAAATGTAATATGAAATAAATTTTTCAATGTTAAAATATCCAAAGATCGGATTGTGCAATGTTTATTGCTCTTAACCATGTAGTTTCTTTCTTAACACTCTTTGAACAACTGGTTGAATAGTTCAGTACACACAATCAATTCTATTAAGTCTGTTGAATTTTAAATCTTGGACTTTTAAATGTATGAGCATGAACACAATGTACAAATTTAATTTTCTGTTGGTTTTGAATGCAGAGATGATCATCTTTGTCTCTAAATTTGAGTGTTCATTTAGTTGTTCGATCATAGGGTTAATAATTGAAATTAATATGTTGTTACTAGATAGTTTTCTCAAGCAGTTTATCACAAGCATCTCACTTTGTTGGTATGCAGATCTGATTACTCAGTGGAAGTGAAATCAATTTGTATAAGAAGCTTAACATCTTGCAAGTGGTGTTGAGAAAATCTCTTTAGTTGGACTAAGGGACAATTGACCAAGTTGCAGTGACCTTGATGAACCATGAAACAAAGAAGATAATCTATCCAGCATTGGCTTACTCCTCCTCCCATCCAAATAACTGATATAAAATGAAAGAGTGGGATTGTTAAGGGCTAGAAGAGCTGGGCCTTATTTCTATTAGGACATATTTTTGATTGAGAATATTGGTCACTGCCTACTTGACTGCTTACTGAGTATTACCCATTGTCCATATTTCCAGCATTGCTGACTTGGTAGGTAAAATATATTCATAATTACTTATTACTAAACTATTATCCAATAAACTTTCTGTTGATTTACACTCCCACTTACAATTTCTAAGAGCTCTAGTACTATTAAAAGAATCGGTATGAAACATAAATGTCAGCAAAGTACCCAAAGTTGATTTTTACTGTTATTGTTAGGTGCCCTCAAGCTGGTTCCAATTTACAGTGACCCTATGTACAACAGAACTGATACTGCCATTGAGTTATAATGACCCTATAGGACAGGGCAGAACTGCTTCTTTGAGTTTCTGAGCGTGTAACTCTTTATAAGAGTAGAAAGCTCCATCTTTCTCCCTCTGAGTGGCTGGTGGTTTTGACCTGTTGACTGTTCAACTGGTAGCCACTATGCCATGAGGGCTCCAGAACCAGAACTGATACTCTGTGTTAATAGGAAAGAAAGAAAGGCTGGGGTGAGGGGTGGGGGTGGCAGAGAGAGTGATTTTGGCTTTATGTCTGGGAAAATTGCCACACTCTCTTCTTTAATGCTGGTGGAAAGGTCAAAACACAAACCCTGCCCAGCCCTCATGCCGACTTCATCCATAATCACAACCAAGATCACATTCAGTCATTCCGTGCTCTCTAATGTCAGTTTTGGATATGTTCTCTGGAAAGCCACATTGTAAACATGTCTGAGACACGGTACTCCAGAGAAAAAAAGCCGGTGAAGTTTACATGTGTGCACATGCTGTTGCTAGGTGCTGTCCCATTGGCTCTGACTGGAAGTGACTCTGTTGACAATGGGATGAAACATGGCCAGGGTCCTGTGCCATCCTCACACTTGTTATGTCTGAGCCCGTTTTTGCAGCCACTGTGTCAATCCATCTTCTTGAAGATCTTCCTCTTTTTTGCTGACCTTCTGCTCTACCAAACATGATACTCTTCACCAAGGATTGGTCTCTTCTGATAACATGTCCAAAGTACACAAGACAAAGGCTCACCATCTTCACTTCTAAGGAACATTCTGGCTGGATTTTTTTCCAAGACAGTTTTCTTTGTTTTTCTATCACTACTCTCAATATTTTTTTTCCAGCACCATAATTGCACTTGATCTTAACCCAAAGGCTGAGCAATGATTGTCAGCACCGTCATCAGAAGGCATCCATTCTCCTTCGGTCTTCATTGCTCACGATCCAGCTTTCCGAGGCATAGGAGGCGATTGAGAATGCCACAGCTTTGGGTGCACATTGGTCCTTAACATGGCATCCTTGCTCTTTAAGACTTCAAAGAGCTCTTGTGCAGCAGATATCATGGTATTTGCAATCCCTTCACATGTATCTGAAAAACTGATGCATATCAATTAAGGTGAAGGACACTGCAACTATCCTGGATTGCTAGAAGAGCAAACAAATGTGTCTTGGAGGAAGTATAGCCAGAATGTGCCTTAGACATGAAGACCGTGAGACTTTATCTCATGTTCTTTGAACATGTTACCAAGAGAGACTGGCGCATAAAGGACAGCATGCCGTGTCCATTAAAGGGTCACAGAAAAAGAAGGAGATCCTCAATGAGATGGAATGACACAGTGACAGCGACAGCCCAAGATGGCAATCATTGTGAGGAATGTGTAGCACAAGCTTGCATTTCATTCTGTTGTGATAAATGTGAGTTGGAAGCCACTCGAAGCACCTAAGAACAACAGTTATCCACTTGTAGATTGTTCTTTGTCCTTTAAACTTTATTGAGAGGCAGAGGGCAGAGGTCGCAGTACAGAGACAGAGTTCAGACAAAGACATGAAGCAAGGGGTGGCTTTATTAAGGAGAAAGGACTCCCGGGAGGGAAGGAGAGTAGAGCAAGGGACGGTAGTATCTTGAATCCCCCGGAGGCTTCCTCAACCCAAAGAGTTATGTCAGGGAAGTCACGCTGGTACTGGGGCAGTGGGAAATATATAGGGTATGAACTTAAGGGCATATGGGCTGATAAGGGGAAGGGAGGGTCTTTGTGCTGTGGTTGCAAGTTTTGGATCAGGAGATGACCTGTTAATAAATCATTTTGTTCTCAGCAAACTTGCTCCCTGGAACGCCAGGGAGAGGAGGCTGTGTTCTACCCAGGGAGGTAAGCTTTGTGAAATGTTGGAAGCAGGTGCTTTGAAGTTGTCATTTGTCTTCTTGAGAAGCTGGTAGAAGGGGCTGCCTTGGTCTGGACCCGGCCCAAACATTTATCATGGTCAATATTTGATGGTGGCGTAGTGGTTACATATTGGTCTGTGATCTGCTAAGTCAGCAGTTTGAAAGCACCAGGGACTCCTCAGGAGAAAGTCAGGGCTTTCTACTTCCATAAAGAGTTACAGTTTTGGAAACCCATAGGGATATTCTACCCTGTCTTATAGGGTCGCTATGAAGCCGCATTGACTCAATGGTAGTGAGGTTGTCTGTGTTTTGTTTTTAATATTTCAGCATACTCAGAGATCTCTTTATTTTAACTTTGTGTTTGGAATATATTTTCATTGGTTGTAGAATTCTATGTTGAAAAGCTTTTCCTTTTTAAAAAGTAACATTTTATTATTTTTTTAAAAAAACAATTTTCTATTGTGAATTGGGTGAAGGTTTACAAAATCATTAGTCTTACATTCAACTACTCACACACATCCTAATTCAACTCATTCACTGCAGTTCCCTCCCTATAGCACCATCCATTCCACCTCCTCCCCCAGCTTCCGGTCTCCACCCCTCCTCTTTTCCTAACCATTCTGAACTTTTCCTTGGGTAAATAAACACTGCTACCTTGGTCCTAAATGGGTCATTATTGTAAGGTATAAATAATGTTATCATTCCCCTTACAGGCCTGTCTATTGTTTGGCTAAAAATTGAGCTACAAGGGAGAATCAGTTCCAGACCTGAAGAGAGACTGTGGAAGGTCAAGAGACTTTTGTAATCCATGACATCAGCCATTTAGTCCATCCTGGAAGAACGGAGGACCCAGGGAATTGATTCATGTCAGTGCAGTTTGTTTCACAACTTAAGAAAAATGGTAGCCCTTTAAGATCTTTCAAGCTTAGGGAAACTCTCACAGAATTGCCCTGGTGTGATGAGAGGAGCAGGAGCATGGAGGGCAGGGTGGTGGTAGAGTAGGACTCTGGTGAAACTTTCCTGAGTACTTTTCTGCTAAAGCTTTGGCTAGCTTCCTCAAAACACTCACATAACAAGCAGATAGTCTTGTTCTTAGGCCCTCCAGAAAGTCCACAAGCAAAATGCCTTGAGAATTAAAAAAAAAAAAATTGCCCTGGCTTTTTCTCTGGAACGGATCTTCTTTTGCTTTGCCTGGACCATTTCCACCTTCCGCTGTGACTGTGTTTTGCCTTTAGGATCATGCTGGCAAAGCCATGCTTCATCTGTTGGAATTCTTTGGGGAAATACTTCAGGATCTTAATCTGACCTGTTAAAACTTCCATGCAAAGGCTTGCTCTTGTCTGCAGCACATCTGGGCACAGCCATTTTGGCACCCGTCAAGCAGAAACTTTGCTTAACTTTAGTCAGAATTGTGTAAGCTGAACCAGCTGAGATGATGTTGGCTATTATTTCTTTCTTTCTTTTTTCAAGTCATTTTATTGGGGGCTTGTACAACTCTTATCACCATCCATCCATCCATCCATCCATCCATCCATCCATCCATCCATCCATCCAGTGTGTCGAGCACATTTGTACATTTGTTCCCATCACCATTTTCAAAATATTTTCTTTCAACTTGAGCTCTTGGTATCAGTTTCTCATTGAGACCCTAGACACTTTACCAGACCAGGATGTAAAACATAAGCTTTGTGAAAAATATGCCAATTAACTGGGTTGTCACACAAGACTATGATCTTTGGCCTCAAACTTAGAAAACCACTTCAATGAGAAGTTTGGTTATGCCCAAGAAGCATTGTACCGGTGCCTGTTGTTAGGTGCCATGAAGTTGGTTCTCACCGGAACGACTCTATGTACAACAGAACAAAATAAGCTGTGCCTATTATGTGCTTTACTATACATGTAAATATAGATGCATGCATACAAGTATACATGGGTGCATATATACACACGCTTCTGTATATATGTATCTATAATCATGTATTCATACCTATACACATACTGCTAACTGTGACACCAATGGTTCAAACCCACGAGCATCCACTTGGTGGAAAGATGAGGCTGTCTGCTCCTGTGAATATTCACAGACTCTGAACCGTATATAGGGTTGCTTGGAGTCAGAATTGACTCCGTGGAAGTGGAGATTGATGTACGTATAAATGCAGCATATATACCTGCACATACATGTTTTGGCTGCTGTTGCTAAATTATATATGTTGTAGCAATTGTCAAAGGGCCCTTACCTGCCCCCGTGCCCCCTGCCCCACTGCCAATGTGTGTGGCTTTATTGTGTATGTACCTATACTTGTCTCTTTGTGAAAACGAGACAAATATTTGGCCTTCGGAAATTGATTTATCTCACTCTATATGAACGCCCTCCAGATTCATGCTGAGAACTCATCATATTTCTGGTGGCACAATACTTGATTGTGTAGTATGTGCTACATTTGCTTTATAAATCCATTTGTTGAAGGGCAAGCTAAAAGGTATTTCCATTATTTTGCTAATGTGACTAGCGCTGCAGTGAACATGGGTGTGCATAGGCCTCTTCTTGTCTCTTCTATTAGATCTCTAGCATGCATCTGTAGAAGGAGGGTTGCTGGATTATAAAGTAGTTACACTTCTAGAAGTTTGAGGAAGAACCATACTGGTTCTCATCACAGTTGTACTGTTTCTTCTTTTTTCTTGAATACATGGAATACAGTTATACTTTCTTCATATATTTTATATTTCAAAGCAGAGAGGTCCCTTGTCTCACCACTTGATAGGTTTAGACACAAGAGTATGAGAAGAGCCCCGATGGAGATGATGTACTTTGCCAGCACGTGGCCTCCCATAGATTTCAGAGACTAGCAATTTGTAGGAGGAGTTCTCGTGGTGTAGGGAGTTACACATTGGGTTGCTAATTTCAAGGTTAACAGTTTGAAAACACCAGCCACTCTGTGGGAGAAAGAGGAGACTTTCTGGTTCTGTAAGAAGTGCTGTCTCAGAAACCCGCAGGGGCAGCTCTACTCTGACCTATAGGGCCAGTGTGAGTTGGAATCAATACAGAGGCACTCAGTTTGGGTTTCTGGATTTTAAGCATCTTGTGTAAGCAGCAAAATCATCATGCCAACCTTAGAGTGAATGGCAGATACAGAAAAACATGCCGGATCTGAAGCCTAATTCAGTGGCGACTTTCACAGACTGGTGACAACAGGTCAATTGGCTGAAGAACATATCAGTGACATCGTCAGTTCAATTCCATGATTTCTCTTTATTAAGTCACAGAATGAATTCTCTGAAAATTAAAGAAAACATTTGAAATAATTATCCTCAAGACGCACTTATTTTACTTTTCTCAATCCCACTTTATTTTCATCTCTGATATTTCTTCCACCTGCACTAAGATTTTCAGGGAGGCAGAACAGTAAACAAGACATCACCCTTGCTCCTCTGATCATCTGGATCTCAGAACAGCAGAACACAGCGGATGCTGAAACAGAGAAGTGCAAACATGGAATGACTGGTGCGCCTTGGAGACAGGGCTTTCAGCAAGTTAATGATACACAGAATGGAAGGGTCCCGGTGGTCTAGAGCGCTTCCCTCTGACCTCACCATCATCCTCATTCACCTCTCGGAAATCGCATCAGCTCTAAGCACCATCATCTCTGCAGGAACACCAGGCTACCCCTACCCTCTGCTCCAGCTTCTGACCAGTTTCCCTCATCCCTGACACCTACCGTCCTCATGTCTGACTTAGGACCGAAGGCATCTCCTTGTTCCTCTCCTTTTGTTGTGTCAACTGCCAGCTAGATCCCTGCTCCCTACCCCTGATAATGTCTTTCTAAAAATTTCGGGTGAGTTTTCTTTACTCTTCTTTTCTGATTTCAATGGGCTATCATGCTAAGTGGCATCCAGAAAGGCATAAGATAATGATTTAAAATTTTTATAAATTACTAAACAAGTAAACGAGGTGGATAGAGTTGGGGGAGAGCATATGATTGTGACATTTGCTTGCAACCAGCACAAGAAACTCAGAGCGTTTATTACTGTTCAATTACTTGTTCGCAGTTTTACTTTTAGTGTCCGGTCATTTTCAGAATTTAGCACAGACCTGACAAATGGTCCATTCTTGAAAAATATGCATTAAGTGACTGCATTAAAGACTTGCTGAGCGATGGCTCCACACCGGCAGGTATGTTAGCAGACACAAACCATCCATACGCACATGCAGTGCAGAAAGGACTCGGGCCTCGACGTGGAGCCTAAATCTCTACCTGGAAGCCGCTCTAAGAGTCTTTGCATTATTTTATGGCTCCTGCTATGTTTTCTCATTTATTTTACATCTTGTCTCTACCCAGACAAAGAATACATAATTAACAGATATAGGGTAGCGTGGGCTTTAGGGTTATATCAAATTCTTAAAATTTCTCTGAAATAAGGTTGATGTGGGTCTTTCTCCATAACTGGTCCTCAGAAACAACCTTTTCATATCCTGCTAACAGTAGGAAATAGGGCGGGCTGTGTGGAAGATATCGAAGTCTGTTTCTCATGAAACTACTTGGCAATGCTTGAAGAAACATTATTTTTTTTTTTTTGCATTCTCAGCTTTTAGGAGAGCATCAAACAAAATACTCACACTTTTCCAGCATTATACAAGTCCATGGCTTTGTGGATTTGATTAAAAGGCAGTTGATGGGTAATTAATGGATCTATGTTAATTTTATTTTTCAGGTAATCAGTTACTAGTTGAGGAATATCATCTCTGGTTTTATAATCTGCAAAACAATTGATTATATTAAAACAGATAATATGATTTGAAAAATATCATACTAACCAAAGGGGGTGGGGCTGGGTTAGGGATCAAATAAGCCATGGAGGTAGATAAAGTACCTCTCTGAGAGTTTGTCCCTGAGCACAGAAGAGAATTCATTTGTACATCAGACAGCTTTGGCTGCTGTTGCTAACTGTTATGAGTTGAGTTGCGTCTCTTACAAAGATATATTCAAGTGCTAACTTCACTGACTTTGACTCTATTTGGATGTAGGGTTATTGCAGATGTTATTAATTAACATGAAGTCATGGATTAGGGCGGACTCCGGTATGACTGGCATCATTAAAAAAAGAAGAGACATGAGAAGAAAGAGGCCAGGATTGGAATTCTGCTGCTGTTGCCACAAGCCAAGGTATCCCTGTGGCTCTCAGAAAGGCAAAGAAGGGTCTTCTCTTAGAGACCCTAGAGAAAGCTTGGCACTGCCAATACTCGGTATTTAGATGTCTAATCTCCAGAAAAGTGAGAGAACAAATCAATGTTAAGACATTATGTTGTGATATTTTATTATGGTGGGCTTAGTAAACTAAGACAGTACATGTGGTTGCTACAGACAATTCTATCACTCAGAGTTCCTTTGGAGAAAAATTGGGCCTTTCAACTCTGTTTAGTTTATCATTTTGCAATTTATGCCTCCATTCTCTATTCCCATTGGCACAGGGACTTCTAACTAGAGGCATGGATAGAGATGGGCATGTTAATTTCAGTAAAGACTCCTTAGAAATGAGCTTCTCTGAGAAGACAACTGTAAGTGCTGTGATACCAGGACATTGCATAAAGTTTTCCATTAAGTGTTGCTGTTAACATGGCACAAGTGTTGAATCCACTAGAGCAGACTCAAAATTGAAGCAATGATTCTAAGCCCTGAGATGATTTTATAGGCGTCTCTCTGCATCTTAAAAATTGTGCTTGAATAAAAACACCATCAGAACTTAATTTTTAAAATTGATTTATGAATTACACTGACACATTGGAAGAAGAGTCTTTGGAAAGAATTATCCTTGTCTCTCTCTCTCTGCCAAGGGGAAGTGCTTTGACTTTTAACTTGCTGCCAAGTTCTCATAGAGAGTAAGAGCCTGGCCCTTTCTGTTCACCAACCTACCTCCTAAACATGCCCCCTTCATTATTCGTCCAGTGATAATTTCCGGTGCTTCGAGGGAAAGATAACTGTTGGTTGGAGCCAACCCAATTATCACACAGACACCATAGCTCACATGGCAGGAATTCCAAGCAGCAACCTAATAACAACAATGATAACTGTAAGCATATTCTCATACTCATCAGCTACCACTTTACCCCTTTTAGAGAATTTTGGAGGCCCCAGGTTTTGACTCTCCTCCTGGAAAGAAGCTATTTCAGCGTCAGCTTCCTTACTGACCCGGCATGCTTTCGTGGGAAAGAGCAGAGCCAGACATGCCCTGTGTGGCCTTGGGCGAGTTTTACTTTCCTATGCCTCAGTCTCCTCATTTGTAAAAAGAAGACTCATACATCCTATCTTACAGGGCGGTGATGAGAATTGAATACTTATCATTCTTAAAACATTTAGTACACTAACAAATACATGGTGAGTTCCGTGTTTATTAATGGAAACAACACGGTTCCTCAAAGGGGGTACCTCTATTTTTTGCCTGACTTTCTCAACTGCATGCTTCTCTGCCCTCCTCATCTGTAGTTAAAAAACAAAACAAAATAGGGAGGGAGGAGCAGGGAGGGAGGGGAAAAACAAAAGAAAAATGATGAGCTGATTCCAAGAGCCCAAGCAGAAAGCAAATGTTTTGAGAATGATGAGGGCAACAAATATATGTGTGCTTTACACAACTGACATATGTATGGATTGTGATAAGAGTTGTATGAACCCCCAATAAAATGATTAAAAAACAAAACAAAACAAACAACTAACCCAGATATATGTATGTGTAAGTGTGTGCATATAAACCTTCAATTAAAAAAAATTCAAGTTTCTAATGGTGTAATATATAATTCTTTATATCTCTTCTGCTTTATTTCTTTTTCTGGTTCTTAACCCCACTTCCCATGACACTTTCCCCTGCTTGGCTCCCTTTGGCCTTATTTGTCAACGTCTTCTCACTTACATTACTATCTCCACTCCCTTTATTCTTGGATCCAATACATGAATCCACTATCCATGTACCAAATGAGGTGCACGCTTATCTATACTGAATGCAGTCCACCCTCCCTTCTACAATGTTAGATCAAAGAGGACAAGTGACTATTTTATTCACTCTGTGTCCCCTGGAGAATAACACATTGTCTGATGAATAGCTACTTAGCAAACATGTATCTTTTTTGCAAACATTTTTAAAATGAGGGAATGCTTCTGCTCTATCATATAGGAAGCAACTGGTGCTCAAACTGAAGTATGAGACAAACAGGTGAATAAAGAGCTATGGAGAGAGGAAAGGGAATACAATACTGGCTTTGTGGCGGCTTCATATGTAAACGGTGGTACAGACTATCACGGTGAGTTCTTGAGTGCGTCAATGGTTAAGTGCTTGGCTACTAGGGAAATGGTGGTGCTTTGAATCCTCCCATAGGGTGCTTCCAAAGACAGCCTGGTGCTCATTTGCTTCACAAGGCCACGGTCCCAAATGTTCTCTGGGGCAATTCCCCTCGGCACACACAGGGCTGTTGAAATTTATGGGACAGCAGCTAACAGGACCATACTGTGATATATCGCTAAGCATTTATTGCTTCTGTTTTAAACACATTATTTTCTATTTTCGTTTTAGATTCTGGGATCCATAGGTCCATAATGTATCTCCAGGAGAGTTTATGCTGATCTGTTATTCGAGTGTTTAATGTGTAAATAATCTGAGCAGTGCACATGATCACCAAGGTGCTCAGCCGCTAACAGAAAGATAGAAGTTCAAGACTACCTAGACAAGATCTGAAAGAAAGGCCTGGCAGTCTCCGCCCACACTATCCGCCTTGGAAGCCAGACGTGTGGAGGCTGGCTCTACTCTAACACACCAGATCTTGCCACGAGTTCAACCTGACAGCTGCCGGCTGACATTGACAAGCAGCCTCAAGCCCATATACCATCGTCTCGGGGCGTCCGACGGCCTCAAAGGCAAAATCAACGCCAAAGCCTGTCATTTCCACCACCGCATCTTGGACGGGCATCTTGAGTTTCCGAGGGTTGATACAATCAGTGACCCCTAGGGCTTTTGCCCGGGGAAATTTTTCCTCATTGATGTCAACCCCAATGATCCTCGAAGCTCCAGACGCTTTGCATCCTATGACAACGGCTGAGCCGATTCCTCCAAGTCCATAGATCACGCAGGTGGAGCCAGGGGTGACCTACAAATCCAAAAGGTACGCTGGTGTTATGTCTTACACCTGGGCACATGGGTAAATAGAAAAATAAAGGGAAAACAAGCAAACAAACAACTAGTGTGGCTTGTGGGAACTATGCACCAAGTGAACAATTTGGATTCATGGGCCCCATATTGATTTTTTTCCCCTAGCACTATAACATATGTTAAGACACAAGAAACTTCCTCACCTTGGTGGAATGAACAGCAGCACCATAACCTGTAGGCACCTCACAGCTCATGACACACACTTTATCCATAGGAGCCTCATCATCAATTTTTGCCACTCCAATCTCAGGCACAACAGTGTATTCAGTGAAAGTGCTTGTGCGGAAAGAGTGATAAATCCTTTTTCCTTTGCAGGTAAATCTGCTGGTCCCATCCATCATGAGTCCAGAAGTGGGTAGAACACTATTCCACAGTAACACAAACACAGACACCAGGGCAGGAACCCCACGGACACACAGAATTGCCAAGAGAGAAGTTAGCACTTTTAGCTGCAGGTCAATGCTTCTATACTAAGAACTTTAGTAAAAGGATAAAGGGCAAAGCAAATCTACTAACTCTTGCTTCTTGCAGAAGTTGCCTCTGGGGTGCAAGCAGGAGCTGCATTCTCTGCACTGTGGGATAACGATTGTGAGGACTTTGTCTCCTAGGTAGAAGGGAAAAGAGATGATTAGAAAACAGTATTGCGATAAAAATACAACAGCGTGTTTAAAAAGAATCTTATTGAATAGCTTCAAAACTTGATGCATACCACTGACGGCTACAGTATCACGTCGCCCAGGCTGTTTCTAACAATACGCCATTTTACTTGGCTTCACAAATCTCATTTCCTTTTATTTTTTGGAGAATGGTGGACATTGAAGAGTAGTCACTGCTGGATAGGCAGTTGTGAGATCTGCTGCCTTGTGTGCTGTTTTAGGAAGAGAATAATAAAACTAGAAGCACACCTTGGAGGGAAGTTATTTAATTTAACCTCTTCGTTTTCTCTTTGATGGAGGTAAGATTCCATAGTGGCTGTCACCTGCCTAAAGTGACCTACCTACCCAGCTGTATCCTGGCAGAGTTACCTGTCCCAATATGGCACAAGGACAAATAGCAGGCCCATGAGCTGTTACCTTGAGTTGGCCTAAATTCTAAGATATGTTAAGTTCAGAGAAGAAAAGGAATCACTTTTCTTTTGCAGAGAGAAGTGGTTTCTGGAGCACTTACCACAGAAAATAGTTTTCAGGTTAAAGAGCTCTGGAGAGGTTATTGAAGACACGAGACTCTTGGGGGATCTAGGATAATAGGCTGTGGCTGACAGTGTTGTTAGGTGCCATCAAGTCAGTTCTGACTCAGAGCAATTCTACTCAGTGTTTCATCAGAAAGAAACATTGCCCGGTCCTGAATTCTCCTCACAATTACTGTACTTTTGACCCATGGCTGCATCCACTGTGTTAATCCATTTCATTGAGAGTCTTCTTCTATTCACTGATGACTCTCCACTTTAGCAAGCACGATGCTTTTCTCCAGGGCCTGGTCTCTCCTGATAACATGTCCAAAGTATGTGAGATGAAATCATGACAATCTCACGTCTCGGAGCATTTTGTTTGTACTTTTTACAGGACAGATTGATTTGTTTTGGCAGTCCGTACTATTGTCGGTATTCTTTGCCAGCACTAGAATTCAAATGCGGTTATTCTTTTTTGCTCTTCCTTACTCATTATCAAACTTTCACTTGGACCAGGAGCATCTGAGTCCACAAAGTGACATCCTTGCTCTTCAACATGTTACAGAAAGGTCTTGTTTAGCAGATTGCAGTACGTTTTTGGGTTCTTGACTGCTGCTTCCATGAGTGTTGATTGTGGATCCACACAAGACGAAATTCTTGACAAATCCAATCTTTTCTCCATTGATCATGATGTTATGTATTGGTCCAATTGCAAGGATTTTTCTTTTCTTTATATTGAGTTGCATTCTAGTAAATAAAGAAGTTATGTAGACTCTATTTTGCAGTCTATCATGTATGCAATAGCATTATGAAAAAAGTTTGAAATATTGTGAACATTACTGAAATGTGACACAGAGACATGAACTGAGCACATGCTGAGGTAGTGAGTTTATTGTGCCAAGCTGGCCGATAAACACATGTGGGGTTAATTGAAGGGCTGAGGGATAAATGGCTCGGTGAGCTTCACCTTTCGAATTCTTGGGTCTCTTGTTTTCTGATGGTCGGACCAGGGTGCAGCTGCCTTAGCCAGTTCTCTCTTTCAGCTGGCAAAACTCACTTCCTGTGAGACATCCCCGAGGAGAAGTCACACAGACCTACCCCGATGCAGCCCTGGGTGATGGAGCAGCCGGGTGGAGACCCCTGCCAGTGCTGAGATACTTACACATTCACTGACTCAGCTTTCCTCCTACAGTCGGCATCATTGCATGTGTTTTGTGAGATGGAGGAGGACTTTGTGGATTGGTGTCGGACATATGGGTTAATGGGTTAATGTTGGACTTGTGGGCTTGGGTAGAACTGGGTTAGGGTGTTTTCTTGATGTGCACTTAACCTTTATATAAAACTCTCTCTTATACATGAGTTTCTGTGGACTTGTTTCTCTAAAGTACCCAAACTAACACACATGCTATTGGAGAAATGGTACCTACAGAATTGCTTGACTCAAGTTTGCTACAAACCTTCAATTTGTGAAAAATGTAATGTCTGGGAAGCACAATAAGTTTATTCTTTGAATTGTCATTGTTATTCTATCAATGACATTTAAGCTTTTAATTCCAGTTTAGAACATTTATTCATTTGTCAAACATTCAATACATTTAGACTCTAGGGCAGGCATTGTGCTAAACATTGTGGGGGCTACAAATACTCGTAGGAAACAATACTTGTCACTAAGGTGCTTTCTATCTAGTTAGAAGCATGCTGATTCTATCCTCATTTCGTTTTGGCAGTGTATACCTGGTTCAGCCATTGCCTTGCTAGATAGGACAACAGAACCTATGTAATTCTTTTAATCACCGAGTCCATTTGATATATGATACATAGCTAATTAGAAGACTTCAAAGTCAAGCCAATTGATTTCTCCTGTGAAATATATTAATGTATTCTGTTCCTCTCCCAGAGGGAGACCTTTGAGAAGCTGCTGCGCTGTGCCCTGTCTCCTACCTGGTTTCACCGTGCTCACTCCTTCACCGACACTCTCCACAATCCCCGCTCCTTCATGGCCCGGGATTAAAGGAAACTTCACCTCCACTTCCCCTTTCAGCACATGATTATCAGTGCCGCAGATCCCCGAAGACGTCAGCTGGATAGGAACGAAGTACCCAGAGATCAGTTGGCTTGGAATCTCTTCCTTTTGTTATTCCCTGATTGAATATTTAAACATTTCACATGAATTTTCTCATTTGGTCATGCTAATGTCATGTGAGGAACACCGGGAAGGTTTTAACACGCCCATCCCAGAGAAGAGAAATGAAACCCCAAAGGTTAAGGTCAGTTGCCCAACGTCATGTGGCTAGTTTCAAAGTTGGTGAGACTGTCAGATATTTTGAAATCTAGTCTTACATCCTATGTCATCAAATAGTCTTGAGAGACTATTTCAAGGGAAGTACTATTTAATGGCCAAAGTTGGACCATATATCAATAGCATTTCCTTTTAGAAACACAGATTTTCATACTGTGTCTTGTAGATCACGGTCTATAATACTTTGGGAAAGTCAATTAAAAACACACACCACATATTGGGAATTACAGCGGAGACCATCAGTTAAACATTCAGCAATTCAAACACATTTTGTTTTGATTCATCCCTTGCAACTCCCCGCTGTCACGGATCCGGCTTCCTTTATGAGTTTCTTGTTTTCATTCCTCCTTCGTTCCTAACCCTCTGAGCTCTGTCACTGGGTCAGTGCTGCCCTTTTGATCTTGTATGGTTGATGATTCTACCAGAGGGGTGAGTTCAGTTCCATATCTGAGCGATGACTAAGGGTCATAATCTCGGAGATCATTAGAGTTTTGTCAATTAAAAAAAATATAAACATGCACATTGAAAGCATTCTTTTAAGGTGATAACGCAAAATGAACTTTAGTTAAACGCATTCACTGTTCCGAAATTTTAGTGAGGTCAAGAATGTTAAAAAATTCTTATTTACATATAGCCCCCTCCCTGAAGGGGACGAATAACAGAAAGGTGGGGGAAGGGAGACAATGGACAGTGTAAGACACACGATAGCAATAATAACATATAATTGATCAAGGATTCACAAGGGTGGGAGGATGGGGAAGGGAGGGGGGAAAGAGGAGCTTATACCAAGGGCTCAAGTAGAAAATGTTTTGGAAATGATGATGGCAACATATGCACAAATATGCTTGACATAATTGATGTATGGAATATTATCAGAGCTGTAAGAGCCCATAATAAATGATAAAAACATTCTTATTTAATTTCTTTTCCATGAATAGGCCAAAGCCAATTAAGCTAAAATTCAACATTTCATGTAGTATAGCCGATATATTATGAATCTGCCTAGAATACAGCCAGAAAAGCAAATGCGCAAATGCTACAGACTCATTTTCCATGATAGCTACTGGGAGAGACAGCATTCTGTAGTTGAAACTGTGAAAGCAGCTATGATATGGTTGTAGCAAATGGGCGAAAAGAGACAATTGTGAGAAATACACTGTTTTGGTTCCCATTGTGTTAAAACCAGCTTCAAGATGCCACCCAAATCTAAAGGTTTTCAGCAAGCTGGAATCTCCCAGTTATTTTTGTTCTCCACATTAAATATAAGTATGTAGTTATCTGCAGGAAGCTGTGCAAGGCATATGCTGTGACTTGATTTGGCTTTACAGTGACCCTGTAAGACGGGGTAGAACTGCCTCCACTGGTTCCTGAGACTGCCACTCTTTATGGGAGGAGAAAGCCTTGCCTTTTACCTGCTGAGTCACTAGTGGTTTCGAACTGCTGACTTTGAGGTTGGCGGCCCCATATGTAAGCACTAAGTTACCAGGGCTCCTGGTGGGCTATTCTGGGTTTACTATTTATTATTTAGGGGTTAGCTTGTGTGGTAAAGAAGCACAGTACTATAACAGCAGAGAACAGTGAGTGATTAACTAGTAAGCCTTTCTGTGACGGTAACCCAGCACACAGTAAGCCCATTGACATGGAGTTGAATCTGACTCATAGGGGCACTATAGGACAGAGTAGAAATGCTCTATAGGGTTCACAATAAGCACTCACCACATGCAGTTTGGATGAATGCTACATAGGAGAATATAGCTTCTGTATAAAAACCCAAACCAAACGCACTGCCATTGATTCTGACTCACAGTAACCCTGGATATGGTTTCCAAGGCTGTAAATTTTTATAGGAACAGAAAGCCTTGTCTTTCTCCTGTTGCACTACTGGTGGTTTTGAACTCCCAACCTTGCTTTTAACCGTCCATCACTTACTGGATAATGCCACCAGAGCTCAGAGCCTGAGTGAGAAGACTTGGAGGCACAGTGGTTTTGTGCTCTGCTTCTAACAGAAAGATTCAAATCCACCGATCTCTCCACAGGAAAATGATGTGACAGGCTGCTCTCGTTAAGTTTACAGCCTTGACGCCCGATGGGGCATTTTGATTCAGTCCTACTGGATCTCCATGAGTTGGAATAGATGCCTGGCAATGGCTTGTTTCTGTTTTGAACGAGTCTTGTTAAGTGAAAATGGTCTTTGATCAGCTACTAACCATTAGGTTGGCAGTTTGAAGAAAGCCCCAGTGAATGGCCTCCGTTAAGATACCAGCCCCCAGGCCCTACGAAACAGTCTTACTTTGTGACATGTGGCACCAGCCTGACTGGTCTCTAACATCAACAACAGTAATCGTTAACACAAATTATAGACTTTTTTCTTCTTGTGTAAATCCCTAGCGTTTCCCATTTTGCTCTTCACTCTCTTTCATCCGTGAAACCTGAGCATAGCACTGGACATGGGAGGGCTGCTTTGATACCAGGTGCTCTCAAGTCGGTTCTGCCTCATAGTGACCCAGTGCTCCACAGAGGGACGCGCCGCCTCGCCCTGCACTGTGCCCACAATTGTTATATTTGAGCCCATTGTGGAAGCCACTGTGTCAGTCTATCTTTCTGGGTGTCTCCTCTTTTTCACTGACCTTCTATTTTCCAAACAATGTCTCTTTCAGGGACTGGTCTCCCCTGATAACATGTCCAAAGTACATGAAAGGAAGTTTCAACATTCTCCCTTCTGAGGAACATTCTCACTCTCTTTCTTCCAAGATAGTTTTGTTTGGTTTTATGACAGTCCATGGTTCTTTCAGTATTCTTCACCAGCGCCATAAATCAAATGCATCAAGGATTCTTTTGGCTTCCTTATTCATCGTCCAACTTTCACCTGCATATGAGGTCATTGAACATACCCTGGCATACCCGAGTCTTCAAAGTAACATCTCTTTAAAGAGGTCTTGTGCAGCAGATTTGCCCAATGCAATGGAGTGCTCTAGAATGCCAATTCTTCTCAATGATATCCACAGTTTGTCATGTTCCACATAAACGCCTTTGCGTAGTCAGTAAGACACAAGTAATCATCTTTCTATCATTCACTGCTGTCAGCCAAGATCATCTGACATGAGTCATGATATTCCTTGTTCCATGTTCTCTTCTGAATCTGGCTTGATGTTCTTGCAGCTCCCTGTCAATTATTGCTACACTGAGTGTTTAGTGATCTTCAGCAAAATTTTACTTGCATGTGATTTAATGCTATTGTTTGATAATTTCCAAATTCTGTTGAGTTACCTTTTGGAATAAGTACAAATATGGATCTCTTCCAATCAGTTGGCCAGGTAACAGACTTCCAAATCTCTTGGCACAGATGGATGAGTGCTTCCTGTGCTTCATTAGCTTGGTGAAATATTTCATTTGGTTCGACATCACTTCCTAGACACTTGTTTTTCACTAATGCCTTCAGTGTAGCTTTGACATCTTCATTTACTTTTGTTGGTTCTTGGTCATATACTACCTCTTGAAATGGGTGAATGTCAACCAATTTATTTTGGTATGATGGCTTGTGTATTATTTCCATCTTCTTTGGATGTTCCTTGTATCATTCAATCTTTTGCCCAGAGACTCCTTCAATATTTCAGTTCAAGACTTGAATTTTTTTATTCAATTCTTTCAGCTTGAAATATACCGAGCTCGCCATTCCTTTTTATCTTTCTAACTCCAGGTCTTTGCACATTTTTTCCTAATACTTTGCTCTATCATCATGAGCTGCCTTTTGAAATTTTCTATTCGGTTCTTTTACCTCATCATTTCTTCCATTTGCTTTAACTACTCTAAGATCAAGAGCAAGAGTTTCTTCTGATATCCACTTTGGTCTTTTCTTTCTTGTCTTGTTTGTGACTTTTTGCTTTAGTCCCGTATAATGTTCTTGATGGTATTCCACAGCTTGCCAGGTATTTTTCAACAGTGTTTAATGCATCGACGTATTCCTGAGTTGCTCTCACAATTCAAGTGGGGTGTAATCAAGGTTTTATTTTAGCACAGGTGGAGTTGCTTTAATTTTCTTTCACTTCAGTTTGAATTTACATATGGGGAACAAATGGTCTGTTCCACAGTCAGCCCAAGACCTAGTTTTAGCTGTTGATATTTAGCATCTTCCTGGTCTCTTTGCATAGATATAGTCAATTTGATTCCTGTGTATGCTGTGTGATAGGGCTATGTGTACACTCACTGTTTTATATTGTTGAAACAAAGTATTTGAAATTAAGAAGTCTAGTCATTTTACAAAATTGTATCATATGATTTCCAGCTGTGTTTTTAAAATCAAGACCATATTTATTTTTCATCTACTGTTTCTTCCCCTTGACTTCCAACTTCTGCATCCTAGTAGCAAATAAATAGCAGTGCATCTTGATTGCATGTTTGGTCAGTGTCAGACTGATGAACTTGGTAGAATTCTTCAATTTTTTCATTATGAGCTTTAATGATGGTGTGTGAATTTGAATCATAGCTGAGTTAACTGGACTTCTTTGCAGCCATGTAGATATTTTTCTATCACAGACAGTGTTGTGCTTCAAGATAGATCTTGAAATGTGAAACTATTCCTCTTGGATCTGTCACTCCCTGTATGATGATCTAAGTCAAAATGGCTAATACCGATCCATTGTAGCCCATCAATACCTAAGATACTGTTCTTTATGTGTTCCATTTAATTTCTGATGACATAATTTTTCTAGATTCATACTTCATATATTCTATGTCTTGATTATTAATAGATGATTGCCACTATTTCTCCTCATTTTTAGCCATGTCCTATCAGAAAATATGAGGGGGTACCCCCAAAATCTGGATATTTTTTCAAAACTATGTATTTAAATTGTCTTTTTTTAATACAAAACATCCTTATTACCTTCAAAGTACTCTCCATTACACTTACTACATTTGTCAAATCTGCTATTCCATTATGGGAAACATTTTTCAAACTCATCTGTTTGAATGGCTGACAGCACCTCCCTTGTTTTTTCCTTCACAACTTCTACATCATCAAATTACTGTCCTTTCATGTCTCTCTTCATTCTTGGAAACAAAAAGAAGTCTCATGGGGGTGATGTCAGGTGAGTAAGGTGTGTGGGGCAAGAGAGGCATGCTTTTTTTTTTTTGCCAAAAACTGGTCCCCTGAGATGGCTGTATAAGCAGGTGCATTGTCCTGGTGGCAAAACAGTCCCCTGTTTGCCACAAATCAGGCCTTTTTTGTTGCACACTGTTATGCAATCTCTTCACAACTTCTAAATAGAAAGCTTGGTTCACAGTCTGACCTGGTGAAGCGAATTCCAAATGCACTATTCCTGTCACATCAAAAAACGAAGTGAGCATTGTCTTGATTTTTTATTTCACTTGATTAACTTTTGGGGGGGGGGCAAGATGATGATGAAGTCTTCCACTGGCTCGATTGATGTTTGCTTTCAGGGTCATAAGAATAGCACCATGTCTTGTCACCAGTAATGACTTTGAGGAAAAGAAGTCTGGGTCATTTTGGAGCTGTTCTTTCAAAGCACAGCATGTTTCCACTCAGCGCTCTTTTTCCTGGTCAGTCAGAACCCGAGGCACAAATTTTGCAGCAACTCTTCTCATTCCCAAATCTTCTGTTAAAATTTGCTGAACCTAGCTCAAACATAGTCCAGATATTTTCCCCATCTCTTCAATGGTCTATTGTCAGTATACAATACAATCACAAGAATGTTGTCGACATTTTCATCCATTGGGGAAGTTGACACATCCAGAATGAGGTTTGTCATCAATTAGCATTTCACTTTTTTTAAAATGAGAAAACCACTCATACACTTGAGTTTTTCCCATGGTGCTGTCCTTGTAAGTTTTGTTCATCATCACAACAGTTTCTGCTGCATTTGTTCCTGAGCCGGAAACAAAATTTCACAGCTACATGCTGTTCTCTTAAATCAGCCATCACCAAAAAACCCCGAGGTTTGAGTGAAACTGCGTTCATGAAAAAATTCACTGTGACAAGAGAGAACCTTTCCAGGTGATGCCACTGGGTGCACTAACTCAGAGTCAGTTGACCTTTCCAGTGATGCCACTGGGTGCACTAACTTAGAATCAGTTGCTTGATGCTTGCCTAGTGGGAAAAACGCATACTACAAAAGCTCTGCCTAGCGGAGCATTTTTCCATTTTTTTTGGGGGGGGAGGGTACCCTCTCTTAGAGTTCCCCAAAGCTTTACACCATCCACATCATTATGGTTGATTCTTTTTGGAGGCAGGATCTCTTCACATTGATATGTTGAGTGCCTTCCAATCTGAGGGGTTCATTTTCTGGCACTCTGACAGTGTTCTGCTACTTTTCATCAGGTTTCCAGTGGCTACCCCTTGAGAAATGGACAACTGCCCCCCCCCCACCCCCACCCCACCCCCGCCCTTTGTAATCTGTCCTTAGTCTGGAAGCTTTGCTGAAACCTGTTCACCTTGGGTGACCCTGCTACTATTCAAAATACCAGTGATACAGCTTTCAGAGCAGGATGCAAGTCACCACACTACAACAGACAGGTAAGCAGTGAGTTCATAATTTGTTATTGTACTGGTAGGTGTCATCGAGTTGGTGCCAACTCATAGTGACTCTATGCACAACAGAATGAAACACTGTCTGGTCCTGTGCCATCCACACATTGTTCCTATGCCTAAGACCAGTGCTGCAGCCAATATCAATTCATTTTCCTAGGGGACTTCTTTTCCTCCACTACCCCTCTACCTTACCAAGCATGATGCCCTTCTCTAGGGACTGGTCTCTCCTAACAATAGTCTGAAGTATGATATTTTATGTAGTGTTAACTCCTATATTCTCCTATCTCTGCTTTTTACTCCCCATTTATATATTTTCTATGCCACAATCCTTCTAACTTTCCCCTCCCAATATTTCCCCAGTCCTCTACGTTTCCTTTCTCTGTTAGTCTCCTAACCATCTTCCCGTGCCTTCTCTTACTTAGATTACATTTGATATGGAGTGGAGGCATGTAGTTTTAGTATGTGTGGCATTCATTGAATCAAGTGTCGAATGTCCTGTTATTAATTTAAAAGATGGACGAATTTGATGTTTAATAAAATTGTAAGCACTACTACCCCTAAACTTGGACAATTAATGATTTGATACAATTTTAAAGGTGTTGATTGAGAATTGGATTTGAGAGTGATAAGTTGCCTTTGATAAGCCAATATTTCCCATCTCTAGTGTAAGCTGTTCAATAATTAATAATCATCATTCAGATCATTCCTGGAAATTCACATTTTACCCCATTGTACATGGTACAATTATTTTTTTGAGGTTATGATGATATGTGAGCACAAAACAGTAGTGTAGGATAATCTTGCCCATCTTCCAACCACACACAAATATAGGGAAAGTCAAAGTGATGACATGGTTGGCAATTCATATTTGTAATAATGCTCTAGGAGTCCTAGTGGTGTAAGGGGTTATGGGTTTGGTTGCTAACTGCAAGGTTAGATGCTTGAACTCACCAGCACTCTGAGAGAGAAAGATGAGGCTTTCTGCTTCTTTAGAGATTCATAACCTTAGAAACCCAACAAGTGAGTTCTACTCTATACCCTATCACAATCTTTTTTGTTCTGCTCTATTTTTAAAATCATATAACTCTTATCACAATCCA